ACGCCGCTGCTGAGGTAAGTGGAATCTCCCTCAATTCACAGCTCCTGAAGGGTCCACAAGAATATCGGCCTTTGCCGTCGATATTATTCCACTTTTGTGAAGGCGCGATCGCCGTATGTGGAGACATCAAGGAGATGTTCCACCAAGTCCTTATACCAAAAGACGATAAATGCGCACAGCCAAATGTGCGTGATGCCGCAGATTATGTCGATGACTTCGTTGATAGCTTCTGCTCGGAAGAGGAGGCCATTTTTATATCCCAAGAGGTCCGAGCGATTCATATGGATGCTGGTTTTGGGCTTCGCAATTTTACATCCAATGCATCGAAAGTAGTTGACGCACTCAACGGTACTGATGTCTCACGTCCAATTGATAATAAAGAAGGTTTCGTTGGAGAGCGGGTACTTGGTTTGTTATGGCAGTCATCGTCAGATTGTTTCGGTTTTAAATTGAAATTCCATAATGTTGGTGAAGCAGTTGTAAATGGGGAAAGACCTCCCTCTAAAAGAGAACTCCTAAGCATTGTTATGTCGATTTTCGACCCTCTAGGATTTCTGAGCAACTTCGTCTATGGCGACAAACTACTTATGCGTGAGTTATGGAAACACGACATCCAGTGGAACGACCTGTTGCCAAACGACATTAACGCTGTCTGGGAGAAGTGGCGTAAACAACTCCCAGAAGTTGTGAAATACGCCATACCTCGTTTTTGTTTTGGAAATGGTGTACCTCAAATACTTCAGCTCCACGTATTTGTCGACGCTAGTGAAGATGCCTTCGCCGCTGTTGCCTATCTTCGATCGCAAACTTCATCGGGTAAAATTGATGTAACATTCGTTTCTTCTAAGTCAAAATGCGCGCCAATGAAAACTCTTACCGTGCCACGGCTTGAACATCAGACAGCTGTTTTAGGCACTCGTCTCATGCAGTGCATCCCCGATGAACACATTCTTGACATCACAGACTGCATTCTGTGGAGTGACTCAAAAACGGTTATCAAATGGATTCGAAGAGAGCAACTTCGTTACAAGCCTTTCGTACAGCATAGAATAGCAGAGATATTGGCCACTACAAACGTTTCCAATTGGAGATGGCTGCCCACAAAGCTCAACGTAGCCGACGAAGCTACTCGTATAAATGATTGCATCAATTTTAGTCCAGTGACGCGTTGGTCACGTGGTCCCCCATTCTTACAGCAGGATGAGCAATCTTGGCTCTCTGAAGATGTCATAGTCTTTGGAAATGATGAACCTGATGAAGAACTACAGTCTAAATTTGCCTTACTCATCGTGAGTCGTAATTTTTTGAACTTTAATTATTTCTCTTCATTTAAAAGATTGGTAAGAGCTGTTGCCTGGCTTTTACGCTTTATCAACAATTGTCGCCGCCGCGGACAGCTAGACCAATGCTATGGTTTAACCGCTAAAGAAGTAGAGAATGCCAAACGCCTCTTATGCCGCCTAGTACAACGTGAAGTGTATGCAACAGAGACCCAGTCCATCGAAAACGGTCAGGA